TATAGCCGGTATAACCGCCCTTCGGCGTAACACACCAGCTTCTGTATCTGTATAGCCGGTATAACCGCTCTTCGGCGTAACACACCAGCTTCTGTATCTGTATATATATATATAGCCGGTATAACCGCTCTTCGGCGTGACACCAGCTTCTGTATCTGTATAGCCGGTATAACCGCCCTTCGGCGTAACACACCAGCTTCTGTAGATGTATAGCCGATATAACCGCTCTTCGGCGTGACACCAGCTTCTGTATCTGTACAGCCGGTATAACCGCCAGCTTTGATGTTTACATGGGTTGAGATGTTATATATGCTGAGTAGATTTGTACAATGTAGTTGTAAAACTTTGTTTTATTCATCATATTAAAGGTGTGGTGACAAAACTGCTGTCACGTGACCCGAGCATGACGCCTGCGCAGATCCGCATGGCGCTCCTGTCCACGGCAGCGAAGAACAAGATCGACTTTTCCACACTTCCTGAAGACTCAAGACTGAAGACACCCAACAAACTCCTGCAAGTTCCTACAGTACCACAGAAGGGTCAGTAGTTTATGTTTACTGAAGGAAAAACATATTGTTTTTGCACTGTTTCTTCTTCCTCTTCTTCTCCAAATACTGACCTCCTCTGACTTGATCAGTGACCTGAACGAGACCGTCTCCGTCACCATGGTAACGGGTGTTGGGTTATATCATGTTGCAATTTTATCGCAGGAGGGATTTAGACTGCTGTCAACATATATATGAGTGTGTTTGAGTAAGAATTAACGGAGAAGGCCAAGGACTATGACATTGTCTCGCCGCATTGTGGGTGACTGCGGATTTAGCGGAATAACTCTTGAAGGCATTATTCGACGTCCATGATTTTTGGCAGGCAGATTACCGTTGTACAGGCCAATGTCAAGTGCAAGTTTGGGCTTCGTGGAGGTCCGTACGTCACTGCAGTGGACTTTTTGTGTTTGTGGCTTGTGAGCAAAATAACTCGAGTATATTTAAACAGATGTTCATGATTTTTGGTAGGCAACCTACCATTGTAGAGGCCAAGATCAAGTTCGAAAACGGGTCTCGTGGGGGTCCCTATGTCGCTGCAGTGGACCTTTTGTGTTAGATGTATAATGAACTACTCCCACCAACCTCTGCATTGATTAACATGGGGGACAGCTGTCCCCGCATCTGGTATCAAATGCTTACAATTGAGGGGCTGTCCTATAAATACTGGGGCGGGGGAGGAAGAAGGTGGACATTCGTCAGGCAGGTCATTCCTTAAATTGTAAGGCCAGACCAAGTTATTTTTTATGGATGACGTCCACTGGAGACCTTAGATTTATTGCAAAAGCGCGATAAAATACATTAAGGCCACAAAAACCTGATTAACATACGTAGATTTGGAACATACTAACTGTGGAAATACAAAGGTTAGGATGC